TATGTGCAATTAAACCATGGCAACATCTAATGTTTGTGTAGTATTATGTTCAGCAGACTGTGTTCTTCTTTTGTTGTGACTTAGATGACGTTCAGAGCACATTTTATGCCCAATTCATGCAAAACTCCACGTAATCCCAAGGGGTTCACATACTTTTTCTTGCAACTGTATGTGCTCCCAATACAGGGAGATAAAATATACCCACATAGTGCTCAGTGTTCACACTCTTATATCAAAAATGACCTATAAACAATCAAAATATAGTGAACAATTATTCGAACTTATTGGAATATACATATAAATATATTGGTATGTGACACCAGTGTCCACAACTAAAAATAGAAACATGCAGGTGATTCTTGTGCATTGTGGCTTCTTGTGATGACTCCACACACAGCTAGATTGGCTCCTCACCTCCTTATTGCGACCCTAAAAGAGCCTACAGGGTCCCTGATGAAGTCACGTGAGCAGTGACGCAACGCGTAGGTGAAGTCCTTTCCTATGTTTATGTGTTTGGTTTTTCACTTTTAGGTAATAAGGTGCAGGTGTTAGCAGCTTCTAAAGGGATATCAACTTGAGCGTAGAAGGTTTCTCTGTCTACTATTGCAAAGTTTTACTGTTGTCTGTTTCCCTGCTGCTGAAATTTTAACAGTACTACAAATCCTCTGATTGTTGCCACCAGGACAGAAAGTGAGGAATATCCTAAAATTTTACAAAACAAGAGTGGATGGCTGCTAAAGAAGGACTACGATGACAATTGTCAGAGGTGGGAATGCCATGGTTTTCCCACACAATAAAGACGATCTTCACCCTAGTTGGAAAAAACATTAAAAGTCAGTAATTACAAATACTGTAGCTGCTGCCCACTTTTAATAAAAGGATACTTACCTATCCAAAGATCCAGCGCTATCCTCACCCAGGCCAGTTCTTCTCCTTCTGGTCCTCAGCGATGGCATGCTACTGTGGGAAGCTGGCTGTGACTCCTCGCTGCTTCACAGCTGGCTTCCCACTGCACATGCATGAACCACGCTTCACTTTGCGAATGGTCCCACAGCCACCTCGGATCTGTGACATGTCCCAGAGGGCTGCAGGCAAAAAGAGGGGGGGGGGGTGGTAACTGTCAAAACTAGGTACCTGCTCCCCCCAAAAAAATAACGTGCCAAATGTAATAGAAGAGGGTGAGAGGAGGAAGTAAAGAAACTTCATATTTAGTTCCACGTTAACTATCTGGACATGATAATCCCCCTGCTTCACAGGAGTTCAGCTGGTTTCTGGTCCCCTTTCATTGCCCTCACATAAAGCAGAGCTGCCAAACAGAGAGGCGTTATCCAAAGATCCTCCATAACATTGCTGTGTGGGGAAGATGAAAAGTGGCAAAAATACAACACACTCACACCATCATCATCATCCTCCCTGTGCCACTACTGCCGGGGACAAGCTTTATGAAAGTGCCTTTTCACGCAACCTAATGTAAAATTTCCTGTAGAGCAGAGATTTTGGGGTGGTCAAAAAGAGGAGGCGGTAGTACACAGGGTTTAGAAAGGTGAAACCCAGGTCCAAACTTTACACCAGGGACTCCACTTTTATAGTTATGCCATAACAGCTACTACATAGTCCCAGAGAGCACAGCAAATTCAGGAACCATTTTCAGATCTCCTGCCCACTACAACCCAACACAAGGATCCACTTTGGAAGGATCTGGTTATGATGGCCAGCAAACAGGCAGAACGCCTGATCTTGGATTGTCAATAATAACTACTGTTTGTATTATTATTATCTATTACAATGTTGATGTTATAAAATGAAAGTATATGCTGTGACCATAGAATTCCTGTAATTTGATTGTGATTTTAGGGAGCACTATGGCCAAATCTATTTTGGCCCTCTGCATTCCTGTGACCCTTTTCAACTGACAGCAGGCTAAAGCAAGCAGTTGGCTGATGTCATAGAGCCAATCCAGGCTCTGGAAAGATCCCGACTATATGGTCAGGATCAGGGGCGGACTGACAACTCATGGGGCCCCCGGGCAATAGGGGATCATGGGGCCCCTGTGTCCTTGCCCAAACTCAAAAAAGCCTATGAAAAAGGTACCAGGGGCATCTCATGGGGCCCCCTACTGACCCTGGGCCCTCGGGCAGTGCCCGAGTTTCCAAATGGTCAGTCCACCCCTGGTCGGGATCCACTGAGAAGCCTAGTCCGGCAGCTGGCTCAGCCTCCCAGCATGCCACTAATAGCCTGAACCAGTCACTCAGGCCCTTCCACAGCTTGGTTCTTCAGTGAGCGCTGGAGGGGCAGAGCAGAAAATCGTGGACTGGCAATCACCGGCTCTCTTCTCACTAAAAGCTGATAACGGAGCAATCAGCAGCCTTTGATTGCTCAGTTCTCAGTCTTAAAAATGTCATGGAACAGATAAAGAAGGGATTGATGCTGCATCCACCTAGGCGAGTATCTTTTTTTTTTTCCAGAAACCAATACTTTACTTTTAAAGGATAAGTTCACTTTAAAAAATAATAAATGCACATTTTTTTGCAGTTAAAAAAATGTGCATTTACTATTTTTTTTTATTTTGTTGGAGCCTGGAAAGCTGGTGCCATGCAGGACTCCTGCAAGCCTGTCAGTGTATCTATGTGCTTGTACATCTCGTACAGGCAAGCGGATTCAGCCTGACAGGAAGACTCAAAGAACTACCATGGCGCTTATTGAGAATTACAAGCCAACAGCCACAAAGGATGTCGGGACTTGTAGTTCATTCATTCACAGAACTCTGTAGATGAATGACATAGCTGTGTGGGTGTAGCCCCACACGGCCGCACTGTTTTTTAAAAAAAAAAACAGCTAGTATGGGGAAATTCTCCCTGTATTGCTGTCACAGGGAGTGCGGGGATAGGGGAGCGACTGCAGGATTGGGAACATCTTCCGCCCTAAAAACAGGTGGAACATGTAACATGTTGCCTAGGGTGAACTTATCCTTTAAGCCAATTAGAAATAAAATATGTTTTTAAATTTTTCTAACGTAAGCTGGGGCTGATGTCCATATCTATTCTCATTTATCTGTAGCACCATTGGGAATTTTATCTCTTTGATCTATGTGCATTACCCTTAAGGGCATTCTGTTCGGTGCAAATGTAATCACTACTATCTTCTATTTTACAAATTTTATTAGTTCAGCTACAATAAACACATACATACACTAAAAACTTTTATTACCTTTTTTCATTTTTCCTTAGGCTCCCGGCATGTACAAATACATATATTCGTTAATCAACATTTTTTACAAAAAAATATTTTGTATTATATTAATATGTATTCATACTTTTAAGGCGGCGCTCTACTCAAAAGCGGAAGTTCTGCTTATTTGCCTCCTCCCCCCCTCCACTGCCATATTTGGCACCTTTTGGGGGGGAGCAGATACCTGATTTTGACCAGGAAATTCGGCCCCCTCCTTCCTCCCGCAGTCTCCTGGGGACTTTCAAAGGTCCCAGGAGACTGCCAGACTAATTAAGAGGTGCAGCGCAGTGGGCACCAGGCTGTGAAGCCGCAAGCTGTCACAGCCTGGTGACCACAGTTGAGATGACGGCAGGGGCGGACTGACAACTCATGGGGCCTCCGGGCAATAGGGGATCATGGGGCCCCTGTGTCCTTGCCCAAACTCAAAAAAGCCTATGAAAAGGTACCAGGGGCATCTCATGGGGCCCCCTACTGACCCCGGGCCCTCGGGCAATGCCCAAGTTTCCAAATGGTCAGTCCGCCCCTGCCTGGATGCTGGCACCATGGATGACAGAAGAAGAGAAGGGACAGCGTGGGTGAGAACAGCGCTGGACTCTGGGACACGTAAGTGTGTGTTTTTTGTAGCTGCTGACTTTTAATAAACACAAAAATGGCTGGAACTTTGCTTTAAGGCATTTGTTAATTTACACTATTTCGTATAGTTGAAATTTTTGTGCAGTAGACAGTCTCATCCAGGGGCGGACTGACAACTCATGGGGCCCCCGGGCAATAGGGGATCATGGGGCCCCTGTGTCCTTGCCCAAACTCAAAAAAGCCTATGAAAAAGGTACCAGGGGCATCTTATTGGGGCCCCCTACTGACCCCGGGCCCGAGTTTCCAAATGGTCAGTCCAACCCTGGTCTCATCTATATAAACAATCCAACTGTAGATCAGAATATGTAAAAAAAAAAGAAAAGAAAAAAAAAAAAATTATGATATACATCCTCTCTATGTAACAAAAGTGCAAAATCAAATTAGTGATATAAATCTCTCCCTAATCAAAGTTCTGCAACTTGCTACTCTATGACTGAAAAGCTGAGTCCTGAAAATGACTCTTTCCAGCCTCCTCCAGCTACAGACTCTCTCAGGTCAAAGAGTCATAAAATTCTGCAGCTATTCGCTGCTGGCTCTGAATAAAGACTGGGTTGGTGTTGCTTGCTCTATAGGCAGGGAACTTGCAGTGGGTAAGGATCTGGGAGGGACTACAAGCAGCATGGATTTGTTTCGCATACAACTGCTGAAGCATTTTTTTCATTTGCCACAAAGGGACACCGAGAAGCAGCATCTTGGCTCTACAGAGGCTCGTTGACCCAAGAAATCTGACCACAAGACGTGTAAGTGTCCTTCATAAACTCACTAAGACTTCTTCAATTGTTATGCCTTTTAGAGTCCTAGGATACTGAAGCATACACAGATCAAGTGTGTCCAACTAGTATTGTGTCTCTTTGTGTTTCCTTTCTTCCCTCCCTGTGTGCTCTGGGGGAGGAGGGAGCATTTGTATGATGTCACAGGCTTCTCTCTTTGCCCGGGTTGAGTGAAGTCTCACTTTGCTAAGTTCCAAGTCTACATGTGCTGCAACATGTGTTCATAGAGGAAGACCAAATGACCTAGCAGCGTCTTACCCTGCTGGCTGAATTTTCAGTCCTGCTTTTCTTTGGACTATGACTGAGGAATCAGACTGCAGAAACCGTACCCACCTAAGCCCTAATGACAGCCCAGCCATCTCTGCTGTGATGTTCTCTGCCGGCGTGGTGGGAAACGTGATTGCGCTGGTGCTACTGGAGACTCGACGCAGGGAAACCCGAGGGAATATTTCTCTATTCTTCATTCTGGTCTCTGGACTGGTGGTCACAGACTTACTCGGCACCTGCATGATAAGCCCCGTAGTCATGGCCTCTTATGCCAGGAGGCTATCATTAGTTGAAATGGGACTTTGTGAATATTTTGCCTTTGCCATGACTTTTTTCAGCTTGGCCACCATGATGATCCTGTTTGCTACGGCTTTAGAGCGAGCCCTGGCCATTGGGCACCCCTATTTCTACGAGAAGTTCATCAAGAAGCGGTGCGGGGTCATCACCTTCCCAGTCATCTATGGCTTCTCCATCTTCTTTTCTCTCTTCCCGGTAATGAACTTTGGGGAGTTTATCCAATACTGTCCTGGCACATGGTGCTTCATTGACATGAAGAATCGAAATGCCAATTCCAATTTCAACAATGTCTACTCCATGCTTTACGCCACCCTTCTTCTCATTCTCATCATTGCTGTGTTAACTTGTAACCTTGTGGTCATTGTCAGTCTGGTGAGGATGCACAAGAGGCAGAAGACCCGTAGGATTGGTTCCATTACTGCCAATAAGCGGGACAGGATTTCCATGTCTGAGGAGATTGACCACCTTATTCTGCTGTCCATCATGACCATCGCCTTCATTATCTGTTCGCTACCTTTTACGGTAAGTTGCAAGGTGTTTTGCTAAGGGTAACCATCCTAGCTTGAGTTGTGCATTTTCCTTTTCTCATTTGTAGTTGCCCACTTAGCTCTACACACCTGTAGATTGGGGTTATACTCTGACAGCCCTCTTGCTGTCAATATTTTGCAAAAGAATTACAGGGAGGAAAATGCGAGGCTTCAGCACTGCACAGCAATGGGATGCACAAGGCTTGGCTTACTATGATAAAGTTTTCTTTACTTTTTACTTTAACAATAATTTTCTCCTAAAAATGTCTGATTCAAAAACACGAACATCACTTAAGTCATTGACATTTTTCTGACAGATACGGGCATTTAAACATCTTTTTTCCACATTAAAGTAGTACTTTATGTTATTATATGACCAAACACCTCCTTTTCTTGTTATGTAGACACCCATTAAAACCAGTATTTAATTTTCTTTTTCATTGTAGCAACAGTTAAAACATTGCGGGGTCAGTAGGGGGCCCCATGTAATTATTATTATTATACAGCATTTATAAAGCGCCAATAGTTCGCTCAGCGCTGTACATTACAAAGGGGGACAGAACATGTGACAGAACAATACCAATACAATGGAAAACATGAGGGGATTGAGGGCCCTGCTCTTTCGAGCTTACAATCTAGGTAATGCCCCTGGTACCCTTTTCATAGGCTTTTTAGAGTTTGGGCAAGGACACAGGGGCCCCATGATCCCTTATTGCCCGGGGGCCCGATGAGTTGTCAGTCCGCCCCTGGGATCCATGAAACGATCCCCTGCTAAATTTGAGTCAAATGGAATGGATGTCACTCTTGTGTCACAAAAGTGGCACCTGTGTATTTTTTTTTTTTTCCTGTAGCTTGTGACTGGAGGCAAATTAACCCAGGTTAGGTCTATGGGCAGGCACAGTAAATGGATGAACGTCTGATCCGTTACTTATGTTTTGAAAAAACAGAAAAGGACACAAACTGTCCTAGATGGACTCAAAGGTAAATCGGATGTAAACAGAAGCCTGTTCATTTACATTCGACTGCCTATAGACTAAAATTGAACTTTCAATCATGTCTGCATGAAAAACTTGATAGGTGGCTCTGATTGGACTGCTCGTGGTAAAAGACAGAGTGGGCTATATAAAAGTATGCTAAGCACCTTTGTGAATTGAGGCCACAGGGAGCCATAATAAAGATGCTTTAGGTAAACACATATAACTTGTTCATTCTGTGTTTAGATCTGGATCAAAGCGTTAGAGCTAAACCATATCAGGGTGGACTGACAACTCATGGGGCTCCCGGGCAATAGGGGATCATGGGGCCCCTGTGTCCTTGCCCAAACTAAAAAAGGCTATGAAAAAGGTACCAGGGGCATCTCATGGAGCCCCCTACTGACCCCGGGCCCTCGGGCAGTGCCCTAGTTTCCAAATGGTCAGTCCGCCCCTGGCCATTTGAAAAAGTGTGTCTGCCAGGGTTCCCCTATGCTTGCTTTGACTCCAGGGATCAGAATGGCACTTGGATAGCATTTCAAGTCTTGAAGTCTCTAGAAATTGTTCTAAAATTCAAATAGCCCAGATATAAGATTTAAAAGGAATAACTAAATCAATGTATTTATTGCAGAGTTGTGTGCAGAGGGTTATTAGATAATTGGCTGAAATGATAAAGTGTAAAACGGCATCAATGCTAGGCGCAGACAATAAAGGGCCTGATATACGGGAACGATTAGATTGTCGGCAGTCTTTGTTTATTAGAGGTGGTAACAAACATGCACGCACATGATGCCAAATACCTCTACTGCCAGCTTATCTAAGAGTAGACAGTAGTGAAAGGGATCCATTGTGGCACTTAAAACCTGCTGTAGATGGATCGAATCCCAGCTGGTTCAGCACGGGCCGGGCGATATTCGATCTGTGGGTAGGTTGGTTGTACAGAAGTCGATCTATCAATCAACTTCAGTACAACCAGCCTGTTTGATTTTTTTTGCAATCACTGCCTGTGGCTATAGCTGCCAGCAGTAATCATTGTGTTCTACCAGCAGAGAAGCATCCCAGCCTGCAGAACACAATAGTGCTGTGGGAGGGATTCCCCCATCAACACTGACTTTATTGATGGGGGAATTGAGAAATTTTCTTTCCTGCAACTTCTGGTTGCAGGGAATAAAATTGCTTGATGTATGGCTTGCCTAATTCTGCCCATATCAGTTTTCAGGCAATTTCATACATTATCAGACAACTGCTGTTTGATAATACTATTGAAAGTTATGGAAAGGGGCAACTTACCAGCACCAGCAAAAAGCGTTTGTATACTTCAAACTTTTGTAGAGTTGAATAAAACTCCTTCCAGTTTATTTTTGGTTGTGTCTGTACTATTGGGGAAATTTCCCTTCACTTCCTGTTCCAGAAACACAACAGGAAGTTAGTGGAAGACTCTGAAAATTATGGGGAAACTACATGCAGTTGTCCATGGAACAGACGTGTTTTGTAAACAACTCTGAAATACGTGATTTTACCTAATTTTCTCTCAATTACATTAATCACACGGACAAATAGAAGGGCAAATCCCCCAATGCGGACACGGACAGCGTTAAACACTGACAAAACCCTTTCCCACTCCATCCAAAACGAAAAAAAAGTTTTACCTAGAGATATACCTTAGGTCAGTTTTGTGGCTTGAGATAGGTTTACTACCTTGAAAAAAAATTGCAATCAAAAAAGAAATTGATTGAAAAATGGAGCCTGTGAAGCAATATGATAGGAAGTGATCCGATCTTCAACCATGTTTGGTTCATTTATAAAATTTCAAGAAAACATTGAATCGAATTTAAAGAATTGGATTTCCACATGTATGGTCAACCTTTCGTATTGCTTGTGGACACACATCACAAATAAAATATTTATTTGCTATAGGTATGTCTATACAACATAATGTACATACAAATAAGTCCCTGTCCTCGAGGAGCTTCCAATCTTCGAACTCGATCTAACATACATACATAATAGGATTTTTAGACAGAAGGCAGTTAACCTATCAGCATGCCTTTGAAGTGTGGGAGAAAACCAGATTAACTAGAGGAAACCCACACAAGCAACATAGGAGGGAAATTAATAAGGCCTGGTTCACTCCAATGTGTTTTTTTCACTTTTTTTTGCAGTAACACATTACAGTCCATTTAACATGGTTTCCTTTGGAACACGTTCACATCTATGCGTTTTTGAGCCGCTGCATTTTTAGAGAGGGTCAGCTACTTTTTTTTTTAAATGCAAAATGTTGTGTTTTTGGTTTAATAGACTTTAATGGAGATGCTGAACAAAATGCACGTAGTGCGTTTTTGACACGTTTCGCATTTTTAATCTGTCCAGCCCAAAACCCCCCCTCAAAATACATTAAAAGAAAACTACAAAATGCACCACAAAAAAGCACTGCAAAATGGACAAAACTGCATTGTGTGAACCAGGTCTTAAACTGGAGGAGTGCAAAATCTGGTGCAGCTCTGCATAGAAACCAATCAGTTTCCAGGTTTTATTGTCAAAGCTTAACTGAACAAGCTGAAGATAGAAGCTGATTGGTTCCCATGCACAGCTGCACCAGATTCTGAGTGCTCTAAATTTTAGTAAATCCCCCCCACAGTGTCCTGACCAAAAAGGGACTCCAACGAGGGGCCCCAGCACAGAGCCCTGGTTCAAACTGATGCGGTGCGGAATTCGCAGCGTTTTCGGCACCACATCAGAATCGCATCCTGTTCATACGAACCGCCACGCGTGTGTATGTTAACAACACCCCGTAAGCGGTCAGCAAAACACGGTGCGATGTGCAGAATCGGATCGTAGGTGTGAATATCCATGCGAACCGATTCTAGTGTGGACCCAAAAAAGGGTCCTGCACCTTTTTGGTGAGGGTGCAAAATGTATGGCTCCGATCGCACTGCACACAAATCGCATTTAATTTGCGCAGGAATTCGGTGCGGTTCCTGTGCGAATCACATGCAATATACCACACCGCACATATGTGAACCCAGGCTGAAAGGCAGAAGTGCTACCCACTAAGATGCATTTTAATGCAGCCAGTTGTTTCAGCCGTGACTTATTTATTTATTTATTTATTACAGGTACTTATATAGCGCCGTCAATTTACGCAGCACTTTTTTTACATATATATTGTACAATCACATCAGTCCCTAACCCTCAAGGGGCGTACAATCTAAGGTCCCTAACCCTCAAGGGGTGTACAATCTAAGGTCCCTAACCCTCAAGGGGTGTACAATCTAAGGTCCCTAACCCTCAAGGGACATACAATCTAAGGTCCCTAACTCACATTCATACATACACAATAATAACTTATCCTTTAATCATCGCTGGGAGAATTTCCCCAACTATATTAATCCTGCAGCTCCTTTATCAATTCTAAACAAGTAACAAGACAATGAAATGAGAAGCAGCAGATTGAAGCAATAATCTCTCCATTATGCTCAATCCGCAGATCCAATCCATTCTGTGGGGATCGTCGGAGGGGGTGTCACCAAGTGTTATCGCACCAGGTGACACCAACCCTAGGGACGCCCCTGAGGAAGATCAATACAATGAATACAATGAATTACGACAGTGCTCACCAGCGCCCTCGAGGTTCATTGAGAACTGCAAGCCATCTGCCGCAGTGGCAGACAGGACTTGTAGTTCATTCATTCACAGAACTCTGTGAATGAATGATGCAGCTGTGTGGGCAGAGCCCAGCATACCAGTGCTATTTTTAAATTGTAACAGCGGGTGTGGGGAGAGGATCTCCAACCCGCTGTCACAATGAGGGATCAGGTTGGGGTGGGGGCAGGTATTTAGGTAACATGTCACGCCCCGAGTGTGGGGGTAACATGTAGAATTTTATTAAAAAAAAAGAACTTATCCTTTAATCATCGCTGGGAGAATTTCCCCAACTATATTAATCCTGCAGCTCCTTTATCAATTCTAAACATATAACAAGACAATGAAACGAGAAGCAGCAGATTGAAGCAATAATTTCTCTGTTATTCTGCTCTCTCCTCCTATC